TCCAGATGTTTCTTAAATGTTGCAAAAGTACCTGTTTCCATCACCATCTCAGGCAACATGTTTCACATGTCTACATCCCTCTGGGTAAAAATACTCTCTCATAACTCCTGTAAACAACTTATTCATCACCTTAAACTTATGCCCTGTGGTCTTAGACAAGTCTGCCCTGGGGAAGAGATTCTCATGATCTACACTGTCTATACCTCTCAAGATTATGTATATCTAAGTCAGATCACCCCCCTCCAGTCTTCTGTGCTCCAAGGTAAACAAACCCAGCCTATCCAGTGTCTCCTCGTAATTGAGACTTTCCATCGTAGGCAACATCCCGGTGAATCTCCTCTGCACCCTCTCCAGCATAATCATGTCTTTCTCATATTTTGGCGACCAGAACCACATACAGTATTCCATCAGTGGCCTAACCAATGTTTTATATAACTGTAATAACGCTTCCTTGCTCCTGTATTCTGCACCCTGACTAACGAAGGCAAGCATCCCGTATGCCTTCTTCACCATTCTGTCTACCTGTGCGGACAACTTCAGTAATCTATGGACTTGTACACTAAGGAATCTTTGCTCCTCAGTACTCCCTAAGGACCTACCATTCACTGTGTATGTCCTTCTCTTATTATATCTCCCAAAATGGACCACCTCACACTTGTCGGGATTCAACTCCAAATGCCATTGCGCACCCAATTTACCAGCTGATCAATATCAGACTGTAACCGGAGACCATCCTCCTTATTATCAACAATACCAATTTTCATGTCATCTGCAAACTTACTAATTCTACATTCATAGCCAAGTCATTAATGTAAATAACAAACAGCAAGGGGTCCTGGCACTGAACCCTGTGGTACACTTCTGGTCACAGGCTTCCAATCACAAAAACAACCCTCCAACATCACCCTTGGCCTCGTAATTGCAAGTTAATTTTGGTTCCAATTTGCCAAATTGATTTTGACCCCATAGGCTCTTTCCTTCTAGACCAGCCTTCCATGTGGGACCTCATCAAAGGCCTTACTGAAGTCCATGTAAACCACAAAATGCACTAATCTCATCAATATATTTAGTAATTTTTCAAAAAAAAAGTTAAATAGTCAGACAGGATCTCCCTTTAACAATTGGTGCAGACTATTCCTATTCAATCCCTGCCTTTCCAAGTGCTGATTAATCCTGTCCTTCAGAATTTTTTTCCAATACTTTTCCTACCACCGATGTCAAACTAACTGGCCTGTAATTACCTAGCCTATCCCTACTGCCCTTCTTGAACAAAGACACATTAGCTAACCTCCAGCCATCTGGCACTTCACCTGTGGCCAACGAGGTATGAAATATCTCCGCCAGTGCCCCATCAATTTTCTTCCTTGCCTTCCATAGCAGCCTGGGACACATCTCATCAGGTCCATGGAGTTTGTGCACCTGTCCGTCCATTAAAACGTGTCACACCTCCTCCTTACTAATCTTAACATGTTCGAGAATCTCACCAACCCAGCTGAAATCCCCAGCTACAACGTCTTTCCTTCTGTGAATACAGTTGAGAAATATTCATTAAAGACCTCACCCATGTCCACGTACAGGTTGCCCTTTGGTCTCTAATAGGTCCCACACTTTCCCTGGTAATCCTCCTACTCTTAATTTACTTATAAAAAGCTTTGGGGCTTTCCTTCATCCCATCTGCCAAATAGGTTTTGTGGCCCCTCCATGCTGTCCTCATTTCCTTTTTGAGCAATCTTCTGTACTCTCTATACTTTTGAAGTGCCTCCCTTTTGTTTTAAATGAGCCTTTTCTCACATATGCTTCCTTCATTTTCTTTACAAAACTCTCAATATCCCTTGACATCCTGGGTTCCCTGGACTTGATGCCCTTGCTCTTCACTCCTAGGGGAACACGGTGACCCTGAATTCTCACTATACTACTCTTTAGAGGACTCCCACTTTCCGAATATACATTTACCTGCAAGTAGCTTCTCCCAGTCGATGCTAGATCCTGTCTAATGATATTAAAATTGGCCTTACCCCAATTTAGATACTTAATTTCTATACTTCTAACAAAAATAACAAAATGATTTATCAAGAGAATAAAATCATAGACTATATTACACTAGACAAATATCAAAACCCCACGAAGATTTATTGCTACTTCTACACCAAGGCTTCTTACTCAGACCGGACAAGTTGCAACTGGCTTACTTCGAATGAATTTCTACATATTCTACTAAATGCTTTTTCTTCAGCTGTATCTCTCCTAGAGACACCTGTAACAAAATGCAAACTGAACTATTACTTAAACTTCAGAGCAAGTACAAGTTCCTTAAACTCAATTTCCAGCAGTCTTGCAGTGTTTATTTTGCAAGAGGAGCTTTAACACCCCTGCCTCCGCTCTCGAGTGCACACGCACACAATATGACTAACTCCCTTTTGGATCTGTGTACCCCTGACACCTGCCACCTGGCAACTGCACTGTTCTTCTCCTAACTTAGATTGCTTCATTTCAAGGGTTGCAAAATCTCATTAAAACAGCATGCATACAAATGGACCTCTAGGCTTCTCAGCACAAAGCTCACAAGAACAACTCTAAAAATGAAACCAAAACCATTTCTCCCACTTCACATCATATTAAATGCAAAATATGAATTAAACATAGAAACACAGAAAATAAGAGAAGTAGGCCATTCAGCTCTTCTAGCTTGCTCTCTCATTCAATATGATCACTGCTGATCATCTAACTCAGTACCCTGTTCACTGTACCCTTTAATTCCTTTAGCCCTAAGAACTATATCTAACTCTTTCTTGAAAGAACTCTTTCTTTTGGCCTCAACCACTTTCCATGCAGATAATTCTACAGGCTACAACTCTCTGGGAGAAGAAATTTCTCCTCACCTCAGATCTAAATGACCTAACCCATATCCTTAGACTGCAACCCCCTGGCTCTGGACACCCCGGCCACTGAACATCCAACCATGCCTTTACCTTGAGTCCTTGTAGGAATTTTATAGGTTTCTATGAGATCACCCCTCATTCTTTTAATCTCCAGTAAATATAGTCCTAAACGATCCTTGTCTCTCTTCATAAATCAGTCATACCATTGCAGGTCCTGTACAATGCAGCAAGATATCCTTGCTCCTGTAGATGAATCCTCTCATTATGCCTTCTTCACCTTACTCTCAGCAACTGGTAAATAAGGACACCCAAATTTCATTGCACCATTTGGTTTCTAGTCTGCCTTCCTGTTTTTGCTACCAAAGTGGATAACCTCGCATTTGTCCACAATTAAAATTAATTTTTTTAAAAATTCATTTACAGGATGTGACCGTCATTGGCTGGGTGAGCTCCTATATCACTACTTGGAGTCTCACAAGGAGCCCCTCCTGTTATCTCATTCACACACTGCTCAACATGACATCATCCAAAAGCATGACAGTTTCCACATATATGCTGGCCTTATCACCAGAGGTTCTCAAACACTCCACTGTTTCTATTTTGTTACTCAGTTGACATCCAGTACTGGAGCAGCAGAATTATCTTCCGACTAAGTACTGGCAAGCCAAAACCATTGTTTTCAGTTCCTGCTGCAAACTCCGTGACCCTAACTACTAAAGCTATTGCTGTCTCCCAACAAGGCTGAACCAGAATATTAGCAACTTTTGTGACATTTCTAGCCCAATAGTGAGCTTCCATCATCACAATAGCAAGCTTACGTTTCCATAGCACTGCCCAGTTCTGCCCAAATCCAACAGCTACTGTGCAGGTGAACACTGTTTCATGCTTTTATTACACTAACTTGACTGTTTTAAGATCTCCAGATGTCTTCCCATTTTCCACTGAACTAACTCAAGTTCATTCTATCCCCTATATTCTACTTCATAACAAGTCTCGCTCACACGCAACTCCTGGGCTCACGGACTTCCATTCAAAATTTTATTTTCATGTGTATGCAAACTTAAAATCACTCTTGTCCACCTGAAATAGTCAAAATTACAGTTTGAGAATATTTTTATCTGACCCTGTAAGCAATATACCCACATGGACAGGAACATATTGCATAAACATTTAAAAAATTGAAGCTTTTTACAAAATATTTCAGATCGCTAGTCCTGCTAGAGTCGTATAACCCAACGGTACAATGTTTAAATGTAAACCAAATTCCAAAGATAAATATTTTCCAACCTTGTAGATTTCTGGTTCCTTTATATCCAGAGGTTCTGTAGTTAGATGTTCCAAATGAAGCCTTCTCTGTGACTGTTCGTAGCCCCTCGACTTTCTTGGTACCACCAGCCAAATGACACCAATTGCTATCATAAATCCACAGCCAATGCCTAGCAATAAACCACTTAAATAGCTTGGCAGAGGGAGTACTAAATAGGAATATACAAGAATGGCACAGAGTAATAAAGTCTTAAATGGAACTTCAAGTTGCTGTGCTTCAGACTCTGTTTCATGTTGCCTCAATAGTTTACTTTCATTTTCAACTGCTTCTTCTCCAGTTAGAGGTTCTAAAGCTTTATCCACAACAATCTCTTCATCAGTTTCTAACTCAAATTCTTCAAGGTATAAATCACAGTATTCATCATCTTCTTTGCTAGCAAGTACAGAAAGTGAGCATTTTTCTAGACCTAGAGATGATGTCTTCAACGAAATCTCCCTTGTGGTCCCTTGAGAGTTCTTAGTGTCCCCATCTTTTGATGACTCATTCATTGGTTTGGAACTATTTGTGTTTGGAATTGAATCTTTTGTTGAATAGTCCCCATCAGAATCATACTCTTCTTCTTTAATGCTATAGTTGTTGTTGCTTTCCAAATGTCCATTTAAACTAGCAAGAGTGGTAAGTTCTGTTGCACTGGATGATAAAGCCTTATGTCGAAGACTACTGGTCTCATCACCAATGATCTTGTTTAGAAGTTGAAAAGGCTCATAAATAACCTCTGAAAGTCGTCTTTTAGTGTCTTCAATTCTTGCCTCCACTTCTGTTACTTTAAAAAACGACCTACCTTCTGATGGTGAGGTGACTGGGGAAGAAGGTGCAGTCTTAGAATCTCCACTGGTGACACGAGGTTGAGTAAACTGTTTGAACAGATGTAAGTTTATTCGAGAATCAGAGGTCCTAAATGGGACAGATTCAGATTCTTGTTTTGATGTGTCTGTTGACAGAGATTTAACTAGTGTTTTCATTAACTGCCTTGTCCTTAGAGGGGTAGTGGGCTCTTTTGGTTCTACTTCTGTTGAAAGAGATTTAACTAAACTCGTGAATGGCTTTGCGCTCGTCAATGAAGGTGAGGGGACAACAGACTGCACAACAAATTTTGGCGCAGAATCAAATGTAGAAGCAGAAATTGTAGTTCTCACATCTGAAGGCAAAGTGGTAGAAACCAACAGTTGAGCTGGCATTGAGAATAATGGCAGTGCAGTAGCACTAGTTGTAAGTGACGCAGAAGGCACCATTGCTGATGTTTCCAATGGTTCCGAAGAGGTGATTGTTAATGCTGAAGATGACATGGAAACAGTAACTGAAGTCGATGCCGGTGACATATTTGATGAGGTAGCAGGCTCCAATAAAAGTTGGCCACCATGTTCACAAGTACTTTCTTTTTCTTCAAGTCCTGGTACAAAACTTCGGTCTTCATGAAGAATCATAGAGGAGTCTTTAAATTCTTCTTCTTCCTCTTCCTCCTCTTTACCAAAGGCAGAAAAGTGTATAGTGATGGTCTCTCGAGAAATGGATCGTTGAACCTGCACTTTTGGTGATGACGATACTGAACTTGCTCTTTCTGCATGGCTACTGCTCTGACTTGTCATTGCAGTCTTGCGTAAGTATCACAATCTAAAAACAATGAAAAATTAATAAATTACAATCTTTGCAAAAAAAACACCTGATACAAGTTCAACTTTGGTTCTCGTCTGCAAGTGGATTTCTGCCAATCTTTAGAATCTTTGTCTTTTAACCTGTAACTGAGTCACTCTAAACCAAAATAGTACTATTACTAATGAAAAGTGGAGTGCTGGAATTGCAACAATGTGTTAGAAACAGTGTCAGAACACATTCTAATTTGTTCATGTTGCAGTAACATTCAACAGTGGGGTAACATAAGCTAGGCAAACTCTGAAAGCTCCAAATGCTGAATTTGTGAAAAGGTAACACTACAAACTTTTTTTTAAAAATCCAAATTATTGTCAATTATACCTAACCATACCATTTATCTTCCTACTAAAACCAAATTGGCAAGTTTGTCTATTTTTGTCAAATAGATTTCCATTCACTCTATTTTCCATAAAATCTCTTATGTAGGAATTCTACCATTACCTGTTATTATGTGGAGGTGCCAGTGCCGGACTGGGGTGGACGAAGACAAAAATCACATGACACCAGGTTATGGTCTAACAGGTTTATTTGAAATCACAAGCTTTCGGAGCACCACTCCTTCGTCAGGTACAGTGAGAGAAGGCACGCGGACACAGAGTTTATAGGCAGAGAGATCAAAGGATCATACAACTGGTGTGAGTAGAACAAATATAAAATGGCTCATGGAGAACTCTGTTAGAAAGGAGACACAAGTGTCGATTGATTAAGGTGCAAATTCCAGAACCTGTTTCAAGTCACTGGCCCAAGATAATTAAAGGTTTTATCAGGGTCTGCCTAACTTTTCAAACTTCAGTCAAGCAAAGACACAAAAGGTGACATCTCAGATCAGACACTGAATTGTAGGTATGAGGCCTTGTTCAGAATCTGTCTCCGAGTTTTAACCTGGAATCAGGCTGTTTTTTTTTCCCCCAAAAGCAGGAATTTAAAAATGCCACACTGACTGAATGTGACTATAAACTGTGTGAGTTCTTTTGAAAATTGCATGTATCTGCAAATAGACAAACATTTTGGATGAAATGATTCACCCCTTAGATTTACGTGTATGTGTGTGTGCGAGAGAGGGAGAGTATGAGAGGTCATGCTGTCAAAATAGGATAGCAAGGAAAATTTTACAGACACTCTTCTGTATCTGTAAAATCACACACACACACAATTTGTAGTCATAGTCAGTCTGGCACTTTACACTGAAATGCCTGTTTTCAGAATAAAACCAGCCTGACTCCAGGTGAAAACTCGGACACAGATTCTGAACGAGGCCTCACACCTACAATTCAGTGTCTGACCTGAGATGTCACCTTTTGTATCTCTGCCTGATTGAAGTTTGGAAAGTTAGGCAGACACTGATAAAACCTTTAACTATCTCTGGGCAGTGACTTGAAACAGATTCTGGAATTTGCACCAAATAGGATTACTTACATGCCAAATAACATTAGCAGCAAGTGACAGACAGAGCTAAACGATCCCCTAACCAACAGATCAAATCTAAGCTCCAAGTCCTGCCACATCCAGTCATGAATGGTGGTAGATGATTAAACAACTCACTGTTGGAGTAGGCTCAAAAAAAATCCCCAGCCTCAATGATGCAAGAGCCCAGTACATGATTGCAAACTAAGTCTGAAGCATTTGCAGCAATCTTCAGCCAGAAGTGCCAAGCCAATGATCCAGCTTGGCCTCCTCCAGTGGTCCCTAGTATTCCAGATAGCAGTCTTCAGCCAATTCAATTCACCTCCACATGATTTCAAGAAACGGTTGGAGACACTGGATATTGTAAAGGCTACAGGCACTGACAACATTCCAGCAAGAGTACTGAAGACTTGTGCTCCAGAACTTGCTGCTCCCCTAGCCAAGCTGTTCCAGTACAGTTACAACACTGATACATACCCGACAATGTGAAAAATTGCCCAGGTACGTCCTGTATATAAAAAGCAGGACAAATCCAACTCACCCAATTACATCAGTCTACTCTCAATCATCAGTAAACTGATGGAAGGTTTCATCAACAGTGCTAGCGCCTGGTCAGCAATAACCTGCTCAGTGACACCCAGTTTGGGTTCCGCCAGTGCTGCTCAGCTCCTGACCTCATTACAGCCTTGGTTCAAACATGGACACAAGAACTAAATTCCACAGGTAAGGTGAGAGGGACAGCCCTTGACATCAAGGCTGGATTCAACCAAGTGTAGCATCAAGGAGCCCTAGCAAAACTGCAATCAATGGGCAGCAGGGGGCAAACTATCCATTGGTTGGAGTCATAGCTGACACATAGGAAGGTGGCCTTGGTTTTTGGAGGTTGGTCACCTCAGCTCCAGGACATCTCTGCAAGAGTTCCTCAGGGTAGAGTCCTAGGCCCAACAGTCTTCAGCTGTTTTCCTCCATCACAAGGCCAGAAATGGGGATGTTTGCCAATAACTGCACAATGTTCAGCACCGTGCACGTCCCCGCAGATACTAAAGTAGTCCATGTTCAAATGCAACAAGATCTGGACAATATCCAGGCTTGGCCTGGCAGGTGGCAAGTGACATTTGCGCCACACAAATGCCAGCCTATGACCATCACCAATAAGAGGCAATCTAACCACCGCCCCTTGACATTCACTGGTGTTACCATTACTGAATCTTCCACTATCAACATCCTGGGGGTTACGCTTGACCAGAAACTCGCTACATTAACACAGTGGCTACAACAGCAGGTCAGAGACTAGAAATACTACGGTGGGTAACTCACCTTCTGACTCCCCAATGCCTGTCCATCATCTACGAGGCACAAGTCAGGAGAGTGATGGAATACTCCCCACTTGCCTGGATGAGTGCAGCTCCAACAACACTCAAGAAGCTTGACACCATCCAATACAAAGCAGCCCACTGGACTGGCACTACATCCACAAGCATCCACTCCCTCCACCACTGACACTCAGTAGCAGCAGTGTGCACTGCAGAAATTCACCAAAGATCCTCAGACAGCACCTTACAAATCCAGGACCACTTCCATCAAGAAGGATAGAGCAGCAGATGAATCAGGATACCACCACCTTCAAGCTCCCCTCCAAGCCACTCACCATCCTGACTTGGAAATATATTGCCGTTCCTTCGTTGTCGTTGGGTCAAAATCTTGGAATTCCCTCCCCAATGGCATTGTGGGCCAACCCACAGCAGGTGGGCTGCAGAGGTTCAAAAAGGCAGCTCACCATCACCTTCTCAAGGGCAACTAGGGCTGGGCAATAAATGCTGACCAGCAGCAATGCCCACATCCCACAAATGAGTAAAAAAGAAGTAGCTCACAATGTGGTTATTATTCATGTAAGCATTGAGAATAAGAGGCAATAAGCTGCAGAAGGACATGATATGCTATTGCCCATTGAAGTTGGCTTTCAAGAATGGGTGAATAGTGATCAGAAGTGGAAACACTGACTGGCTAACACTCAAATCGTTAACAGACTCAAAACAATTGCAGTTCCCTTTGCAACTGTTGTGGCTGGAATCAGCCAACTCCGCACAGATGGAGGATTGAAAATGGCCACCTAGTCTATATACAGCATGTCTCAAATTAATTAAAGTAACAGATTCTTGGGAATGATATTCAAGCATGGATTTTTTTTAACAGCATATTGTGTTTACATTGGTCTGAAAAGACAGAAGATGATTACAAAAAAATTCTTTCTACACAAGTTATTATTTATGTTTAACAATTATTTCTTATCTGCCAGTCAAGCAGGATACCTTGTTCCAATGTGCCTTTTTTTTTGCCTCATTTCAAACTATATACCTAGTTTTCCACAACAGGAAACAAAAGATTCATACAAAATGGTGGCCCGCCATTCACCCAGACTGATTTGAAAATTCTTTAGTAAATCAAAGTCACTGGATTAAACTTACATACAACAGAGGCACTGAATAAGTTAATAGAATTTATATTATTCATTAGTTTATAGAATTGTATTGGTTTGCGGTTTATAAATAGAAAAAGGTCTTTACGGTTTACTCATATTCAGAACAGCAGAGTCCAATTTGGATTTGTACCACGTTTCGTCCTTGTTTTTGAACCAAGTGTAAAGGCCATGTCTTTTTATTTTTCTATACTTTTGATTGACTGAAATGGGAAAAGAACTGTTTTAAAAACCAAGGATTGTGGTAGGGATTTATGTACTTTTTAAAAGCAAGGTTCCAAAACTCATTTTAAATGGTGTTTACATTGTTGCTTTGTTCAATCGTTTGGCAAAACTGGTTGCTGATAGGCTGGCACCAGGACTGTACAAAGTGAAACTCAGCTGGCAACAAGTAGCTGATTCGAATGTTGACCAGCTGTCAATGACAAAAGCCTTCAGCCCACCAATAAGTATGTGACTGGTTCCTAGGTAGGGAAGAATACCTTGTGGGTATGAACAATACTGCCAGAAACATTATCTCTGTTTTTTTCTTCATAGATGCTGTCAGACCTGCTGAGCTTTTCCAGCAACTTTGTTTTTGTTTACTGCCAGAAGCTTTCAGATATCCAGCAAGGGGAGTCATAGAAATACCAGAAGCCTGAAGAAAGCCAGTTTATTAAAACTTACCAGATGCTGCAAGCTGTTGTTAATTTATGAACCAGACATTCTCTGCTTCCTGCAAGGAAAGGAAAAGTACCTGGAGCAGAAAGATTGAAGAAAAGCAGGTCAGGAAAAGGAAAAGGTTCATCTCAGTGAACCTTGTGGACAGAGGCCATTGAACCACCTTCCTAGATTTCTATTTCTCTCTAACTCTAAAACCAATTTCTTTTCGTTCTCTGTATGTGTGTGTAGGGACAGTTTTATAACGGGGGTTAGAATTTTAAAGAGTGATTACATTTTATTTACCAGCTGCTAGAATCACTGTTTGTAATAAATACCAATTCTTTGTTAAGTACAGAAACCTGGTCAGTGTTTTCTGTTTGCCCGTGTCTGAACAGACAGGTAAATTGAGGACAACATGCATACTTTTGTAAAGTTTTTAACTTTTTGACAATTCCGGAAATAGAGGGACTCGACTTTCAGCATGCTATCTCAGTGAGGCATGAAAGAAGTTTAATATTTACAATTTTCCAGTTACAGAGTCATAGCGTTATACAACATGGGAATAGACCGTTCAGTCCAACTCGTCCATGCGGGCCAGATATCCTAAATTAATCTAGTCCCATTTGCCAGCATTGGACCCATATCCATCTAAACCCTTCCTACTCATAAACATATCCAGGTGCCTTTAAATCCTGTAATTATACCAGCCTCTACCATTTCCTCTGGCAGTTCGTTCCATAAACGCACCATTCTCTGCATGAAAAAGCTATCCCTTAATTCCCTTTTAAATCTTTCCCCTCTTACCTTAAAACTATGCCCTCTAGTTTCGGACTCATCTACCCGGGGAAAAAGACTTTGGCTATTCATCCTATCCATGCACCTCATGATTTTATAAACCTCTATAAGATCTCCCCTCAGCTTCCAAAGCTCCAGGGAAAATAGCCCCTGCCTCTCCCTATAGCTCAAACCCTCCAAGCCTGGCAACATCCTTGTCAATTCTTTCTGGACTCAAGTTTAACAACATCCCTCCTATAGCAGGGAGACCAGAACTGAATCCAATATTCCAGAAGTGACTGAACCAATGTCCTGTACAGGCACAACAAGGCCTCCCAGCTCCTGTGTTCAATGCACTGACCAAAGAAGGCAAGCCTACCAAATGCCTTCTGCACTATCCTATCTACCTCTGACTCCATTTTCAAGAAACTATGAACCTGCACTCCAAGGTCTCTTTGTTCAGCAACACTCCCCAGGACCTTATCATTAACATATAATTCCTGCCCTGATTTGCCTTACCAAAATGCAACACCTCGCATTCATCAAAATTAAACTCCATCTGCCACTCTTTGACCCATCTGATAAAGGCTCCATTGTATTCTGAGATAACCTTTTTCGCTGTCCACTACACCACCAATTTTCTTTGGCACCATGTCCATGTCCCAATCCAAGAAGAAATGAAAGATTATAGGAATGGTTTCTGTTATCTCCACCCTATATCCCTCAGCAACCCAGGATACATCACATTTGGACCAGATGACGTTAATTTTGAATGATGTCAACCTAAATGGTGTGCGCTTTCAATCTCATTTTAATATTATCCATTATCTTTACACTTTTTACTTCAAAGGCAACATTAACTTCATCCTGAAATATTAACTCCATCTAGTTCAGATCTACAGAATATTTCCAGAAGCATTTTTAAGCAACTTCTTCCATTATGACATTTTAGCCTATGTTCAAAATGCCATTTTGTGGTCCCTAATTGGCACACCATTCCTTTAATTATCCTTTTAACTTTTACATTTTTTATTAAAGATTTTGTGATTCTTTTGTTACCCACTAATCTCTATTCATCTTTGTCCTTACATCCTTTTTTCAAATTCCCCAAGTGCAATCTGCATTCTGCCTTATTCTCTGTACTTGATATTTCTGAAAAAGACTCATTTTTCTTGTCTTACTTTAACTGGTGTTTCTTTTAGTCATCCAGGGAGCTCCAAGCTTTGACTGCACCATTTTTTTCCACTTATGGAAACATGGTTAACTTATCTCCAAAGTAATTCCATCACGGAGGCCTGCCCAATGCTATTCACTGCATTACTGGCTGGTCTTTGTTTCTACTTCATCTGAGCAAAATTATTTCTCAAATTATTAGAATTGGCTTTCTCCCAGTTGGATACTTTCACCGTTGATTTTTCATTGAACCCTTCCATAACTACTTTAAACCTAATTATTGTACGATCGTTATTAAACAGACACTCATCCACCACAACACAATCACTAGACTTTACTCCATGCCCCAAATCTCGGTCCACCACTGCTTCCGAAACACACCGACGAAGGAAGTTCTTCTACACATATTTTAGAATTCTTCACCCTTCCCTTTACTCTGCATACTTCTACAGAATTCAGAATATGATAATTGAAATCCCGTTCTATTTAATGATTCTGTGATAACTGCCTACAGATTTGTAGGTCTGGCAGCATCTGTGAAGGAAAAAAGAGAGTTAATGTTTAGGGTCCAGTGACCCTTCCTCAGAACTGACTCGAAATGTTAACTCTGTTTTTTCCTTCACAGGTGCTGCCAGGCCTGCTGAGCTTTTCCAGCAACTTTGTTTTTGTTCCCGATTTACAGCATCTGCAGTTCTTTCGGTTTTTGTTCGACTATCTCCCTTACTACAATACTTTGTATTTATAGCCGTCAGCCAGAAATGTTACAGCTCCAAAGATGCCAGTAGAAAATTATGTTCCCTATCTTTGCCAATATGAACTATAATCTGAAATATGCATATGTAGAACACTTTTCAATTCTTAGCACAAAGTTGCTAAGAGTTTTTCCTGTTGAATTTATGTAATATAGCAACTCCAAACACCATCTTCCCTCCCTCCCTCCCTCCCACATTCTCTGTTCACAAAATCTTACATGCTTCTCCCTTTACCCAGACATAGAATGAGTCACATTTCCAACTTCTCAAAGTTCAAATTGCTCATCATTGTCACATTAAGTATAATGTCATGATTCTTGAAGTACGAGTAAATGATTAACAGGAAAGGAAAATAATGAATAAAACTAAAACAGAAAGGTGGATTTAATAGAATATTTTGTTCTTCAGATTTGGGTGACAACTGAAAGGTAGCATATTTTGTTTGTACAAATGATGAACACTTTTAATAAAATAAATAGTAGAACTTACTGGATAACTATTATGAACAAAGCATGCATTCAGAATTATTAAAATAAAAAAGCAAATTAGGATAAGTATTTTCATTTAATGGGTTACTAGAAGATACAAGTGGCTATTGAATCAGAGACTACATAATTTAAGTATTTCAAAAGCATATGCTTGGATTTAAGAAATAGGAAGAGAAATTAGATAAAGCAGTTTCAGAGCTAACACTAACAGAAGGAAGTATGAAGGTCTCCCTCAGAGCTGTAAAGCATATGATTAAAGCATATCATCTGCTAGCACTTGCAAGTTTCATTGCCATTCTGTTGTCAAGTAGAGAATTAAGTAAAGATAGGCATAGCTGATAGAAAACAAAATTCTGATGGGAATTCACTTTGCATTTCATTGGTACACTGATAGCGATTGAATCCCATTCTCAAGCATTTTCATTGGATCTGCCTAGTCATCCACTAGGAGATGCACATGTTATTTGCATGACACAAATTAATTGCATTTCATCCCACTCACTCAGAAGGCTTTGCAGCACAAAAATAACATTAATAAGAGTTAAAAATGGCTCTTGTGGCACAATAGTAGCATCCCCAGCTCAGGGCCAAAAGGTCTAGGTTCAGATCCCATCTGCACTAGAAGAGTTTCAAAGATACTTTAATCAACCTGTTGATACGTGTTATGACACACTTCTGGAGCAGGAGGGATTTGAACCTGGTTCGCTACTACTGTGACACAAGATCCTTTTTTCAAACCCTTCTGAACAGGATGATTGAAACAAAAAAGGGTTAAAAAGTTACCAATTGAGTTGTAGCCTCAAACAAATATTTCACAGCAGCTCATTTGTGTGATGTAATTAAATGTGTTCAGTGTAATGGCAAAAGGACTGGTGAAGATCTGAAGTTGCAGTGTTGAAATGGTACTTTTATTTACTATGATTCCAATTTAATAAGTAAAAACAGATTATAATACTGTACAGTTTCTTAAAGTAGTACAATCCCAATATCAACATTTATTTACTGTCATAAAGATTGACCCAATTTCAGGCAGCTTTTCCAAAAAGAGGTAGACGCGGAAGCCAGGATTGCAAAAACTGAAATTGCCTGTTATTTTGCTACTATACCTACCAGGAATTTTAAAGGAGAGATACTGTCATAAAGGAGTCAAATGAAAAATGACAACAAATAATTACATTTAAAATTTGAACTTTTCCATCAGATCTCAGTGATTGAGGTTTAATGCCTCTTAATTTCTCTGCCCGAAGATTTAAATATCAATGCAACACTTAAATTTAAGATTACTTTATTTATCATTTTTGTTACTTGTGTACGCACTATATATTTCAATTCAAACAACATTCAAAAATAAACAATTAAATGATCATGTAGATGGGAGTTGATGGTTTAGTGGTGTTATTACTAGACTATTAATCAAGAGACTCTGGTAATGTTCTGGCAACCACTGTGACAAATGATGAAATCAGAATTCAGAATGTAATGATGATAACCATGAAGCCCAGTGTTGATGGGTGGAAAAACCCATCTAGATCACTAATGTCCTTTAAGAAAGGAAACTGCCATCCTTAATTGGTCTGCCCTATATATAACAGTGGTTGACTCTTAACTGCCTTCTGGGTAATGAGAGATGGGCAACAAATGCTGGTCTAGCCAGTGACACCCATATCCTGTGAATAAATAAAAAAATTTCAAAAGGGCAAGTGGTGTAGTGGTAATATCACTGCATTAGACACAAAATCCCATGACAGCAGCTATTGGAATTTAAATTGACTTGTCTTGAATTAAAAGTTAATCCAATTGTGAACATGAGGAAAGGAAATCTACCATCTTTACAGGGTTGAAGAACGTGTGACTCAGGACCCAAAGCAATGTGATTGACTCCCAAGTGTCCCCCAAAATGCACAGCA